ATTAGTAATTACCTTTTTCTGGTTGGCAAGATCCTTCCCTTGATCCTCTGTAATCTTTCGTTGATGTACAAGGTCTATCTTGTTGGCCACAAGAATCATGGGATATGAATCTCTATATAAGGTAAAGGGTAAAAAAAAAAAACATGAACAATTTACACTAACTTGAATCAGCAACTTGTGCATAAAAGGAATTAGATTTGAAAGTGGGAGGGTCATCACCTGCACATGCGCGGGAATAGAGTCACAAGTTTTCATTTCACTGATAAGTGAAAACCATAAAATTAAATCCACATAACCATAAACCATTGTTTTCCTGACAAATTCATGCTCAAGATATCAAAATAGTGAAATTATATGCCTGTGAAAAAAAATCGTGTTACAGTATCTTATTTTGAAAACTAATGTTTTTTTGTTTTCTAATATTCAAATTTTTTCATATTAAAAGCTAATCAAATATGCAAATGAGATTTGACAAATAATTCTGTTTAAAATCACTATGTATCAGTTTGTTACAAAATATACCACAAAAAATGATTGATACAATATGCAAATCAGGTAATTATTATGCGTTAATATTTACCTGTCTTTAACCCTTAGTATTTGTGTGTGGAATGAGTGGACATTATCAAAACTAGCTTTATCTGTGACGGAATATACAATAGAAAACCATCTCCTGTTCTCATACTGTTCACGCATAGCGCTGAATTCCTCTTGTCCAGCGGTGTCAAGAACTGTAATACGAAACATTGTTAATAGAATTTAGGGTACAACACGGTTTTAAAATAAATTTCCATTTAAATTAAACCCCAAAACAAAAAGATCAATGACAATTTCACACTTTTATTTTTTAAGTTCAAAAAACAAACAGTCTTTTTATTCTGAACACTGATGGCACAATTTAGAAGGTTATAATTCTAAAACCGCTAGCTTAAGGGAGCTGATTGTAAAATTTGCTCAAACATCACAACTACAAATGTAACGCTACATTCAGTATGACCACAGATACTAGCAATCACCAGTGCATGGTAAATTATTATAGTATAGTGACCACTTAATTACATCTGGCAAGAAGGAATTAGTATTTTATTATAAATCATAAAATATTAGTATCAAGAATTAAATAATTAACAATATAGAGTCAATTTTGTAATTCCTTATTAGTACCTAGCAAAAATAATTAATTGATTATTTGGAAGATTTGTCAAAAGGTCATCATTCGAATTGTTTTGTTTTTTTAACTTTGAAAAGTCAGTGGAAAACATATCATAAAAATAAAATAAAATAACATGTATGTAATTGGAAAAAAAATCAGAAGCCATACATCAGATTGGGTACAGGTGTTCCAGAGTTGACATTTGATTAAACTGTATGTCCATTCAAATTGTCATAAATACTTGATTGATTTGAATATATACCGGTAATCTAAAATGCATGATTTTTTTTAGAAATACACAAATTACTAAGAAATCTGATTCAACTAAACTCATCGTTTTTCCAGGAATTGTATTGCACCATATGCATGCAGGCCTACAAAGATTTTGGAGATTAAAAAACCAAAAAAATCCTATCGGTTCCTCACATTTTTCACATTATCAATATTTTTCTAAATGAAAATAATTGCTTGTTATGGCCATGGTAGAGGTGATGGCTAATGCTCAATACAGTTGATTTATTAAAAAAAAAAAAAATGAGATCACAGCCACTCCAGGAATAAATACTTGGACAATCTGCCCAACAGTTTCTGAATATCACGATACATGTAGTAAGAAACCCAAAATAGACCAGCTTCGATATACCATCCGGCAGCAGAGATTAATTACAGAAATTTTAAAAGCCTTGCTGAAACTCCAGCTGTTGATTGTCCGATAACATCGGGACTTCGTCATATCATATGTTGGCCATAGATCTGACTTTCAACACAGAAATGATAGTCTGAGATGTGCGCTACAAAATGCGATAGGCTTACTGAAAAAAGAAAAGAAAAGAGTTCTTTCTAGTCCTGAGATTTTCCAAAAAAATGTTTCTTTTATTTTGAGCAGAAACCTAAAAAAAAAAGTCATGAGTGTGACCTATTTTGAACTGCGGTACATGTCACCATGGTGACCGTGATGTCACTGATCAAAAACAAATCATTTCAATCATTTATGGTTGAAAATGATTCAAAAATATTCAAAATTGATGAAGTCATTCAACAAATGCTAGTCTGCTTTTGGCATTGCTATGGATACTGCATTTGATTGACAAAAAAATGTGCAGTCATGTTGTACTTCAAAAGATGCAATATGTAAAATTTCTGATTTCAACCGCTAAGAAATTGTTCAAGATAATATTTACTCTACAGTGTATGCAACCATGGTGATTATTATACATATAGTCTTTGTAACACTCCCCCAAACACATGGGGGGATGCATTTACTTACAGGAAAAAAATGAAATTTAAGCATTCATGCAGTGATTACAGTGTATAGTGGTGAACAAAATAATCAATTTAATGGATCAGAATGACCTACATATGCCAAACCATCATTACAATGTCGCATTTAGTCTATTATAAACTCATCTTCAATAGATAATATAAAACATGCTTTTATTAGAGATGCAATTTTAATAGACTAAACATGGTACATGTACCATCTTTAGTCTATTAGAAGCACATCTCCAATAGAGGCACATGTACCATATTTAGTCTATTAGAAGCACATCTCCAATAGAGGCACATTTACCATATTTAGTCTATTAGAAGCACATCTCGAATAAAGGCACATGTACCATCTTTAGTCTATTAGAAGCACATCTCCAATAGAGGCACATGTACCATCTTTAGTCTATTAGAACCACATCTCCAATAAAGGCACATGTACCATATTTAGTCTATTAGAACCGCATCTCCAATAGAAGCCCATGTACCATCTTTAGTCTATTAGAACCGCATCTCCAATAGAGGCACATGTACCATATTTAGTCTATTAGAAGCACATCTCCAATAGAGGCACATGTACCATATTTAGTCTATTAGAAGCACATCTCCAATAGAGACACATGTACCATATTTAGTCTTTAGAAGCACATCTCCAATAGAGGCACATGTACCATCTTTAGTCTATTAGAACCGCATCTCCAATAGAGGCACATGTACCATATTTAGTCTATTAGAAGCACATCTCCAAGAGGCACATGTACCATCTTTAGTCTATTAGAACCGCATCTCCAATAGAGGCACATGTACCATATTTAGTCTATTAGAAGCACATCTCTAATAGAGGGACATGTACATGTACCATATTTAGTCTATTAGAAGTACATCTCCAATAGAGGCACATGTACCATCTTTAGTCTATTAGAAGCACATCTCCAATAGAGGCACATGTACCATCTTTTGTATATAAGAACCCGCATCTCTAATAGAGGCACATGTACCATATTTA